ATCTTGTTAATGATGTGATCTCTCAGCTTCCTGTTCCCACCACCATCATGCCTGCTGTCTGCTACCATGCTCTGTTCTGCTCTATCCCTCCAGAACTGTAAGCTCCAAATAAACCCCTTCTTCTATACGTTGCCTTGGTCATGGTGTTCTATTTTACAGCAACATAAAAGTAACCAATACACACTCGGTGCATGTATATATACTCAGACACACACTTATATGCATAAAATACATCAAAACCTTTTAGAAATATGAAGTGCAATATCAACAGTAAGAATAAGACAAAAGACTCAGTTAAATTTCTCTCCTTGTTGCCAGAATTATGCTAGTCACCTTAACAGAGGTTCCCTCTTTCCAAGGTGACTTTAGTTTATGCCAAGTTGATAAAAAAAAATCAGTACACACACACACACACACACACACACACACACACACACACACACATACACACTCACTCACTCACACAACCACACACTTCTCTGCCATTTCCAACTATATATTATCACTAATAATTATGAAGCCAAAATATTTATCAGCTCTGCAAATAATAAGGTTCTCTTCATATAACAATATAAAATATTCAGCCAAAATTAAATTCTTTAAGTTAAAGTAAGTATGCCTACCTCACTAGTATATAAATTTGTTTTTGTCTTTAATAAGTGGTAAAATTAATGCATATCAAAGAATTGCTTCCAAATATATTGCTTTAATTTATATGTCCAGACTCACATAAAAATTCTTTGGTGAAGAATTTAAGAACAAGAATTTAAGAACAAGAAGAATTTAAGAGTCTGAGGAACAGCTTTTTGTAACATTTAACCAAGAGCAGAGCATCACATAGTGCTGAATTCAAGAGCCTACTCTTTTAATCTCTGCTGTGAAGCAAGTTGCTTCTCTTTGTTTTCATTTTCTATCTACAGAACAAGCATTGTAATTTCATTGTTCTCATGTGCTATTGTAAGTCCTGAATGATATGCTCAAAGGAAAGAGCTGAGTAAAGGGCTTGGAACAGAGTGGGAGAAATTCATACTAAAGCCAGAACCTCTGTTTTGATCTCAAAAACGTGCTTCTCCTAAAGCCATGGCACTCTGTCTTCACCTCTATGCTTTTGTTAACCTAACAGTTTTGTTTAACAATTCAACTAACATTTCTTCTCTGGACCACAATATAGCAAGAGAAGATGATAACATTCTTATTTTATTCTGAAAGTCTATAGACTCTTTAAAAAACCATACTTACTGAACTATGTCACCACAAAATCCATGATATAAATATATATATATATATTAGATATTGTGTATTTATATCCAAAACATGTCTATCTTTCAATGCCCACTAGAACTTATAATGTCCTTAAAGTTAGTAATTATGTGCTTTCATTCAGCATCTCACGTAGAGGTGAAGCAAATAAAAAGGACAGATGAATCAAGGCACATATGTACAGAAGAAACAGCTGAGCTCCAGTGCTACCACTCGTGTGTATATTCCAGTCCAAAATAGGAAGGCAAGTACTGAACGGGGAAGAGGATTAGGGGCTAAAAATTATGTTACATCTGGGTTATTTCCTTACAAGAAAAATGTAAACCTTATTCAACCCTTGCAGAAGGCATTGCCAAAGAATAAAGAATTCAGAGTCCACTCACCCCATGTTTAACTCCAAGGATAGATGATTGATTCTCTGGTGTAAGTGACATCATATCACATCAGGGTTTCTCAGAAAATAGCTTGTGAGCAGTGAGTTCACACCTGGTGCACAATATTTATAACTAGTAATCACAAAGTGTACATCCTGATCCAGTTGTTTTGGGAAGCACAGTTATTATTAAGTATTACCCTGAGAAGCAATTTTACGAAAACTGATGGGGTTGTATCTTAGTTTAGTCTCCTGTTGTTATGATAAAAGGCCCCAACAAAAGCAACTTACAGGAGGAAGGATTTGTTTGGCTCTCAACTCCAGTGAATCTCATCACTGTCTGGAAGTCAAGGCAGCAGAAACAGAAAACAGCTAGTCACAGTACAACCCTACTCAAGAAAGACTGAAGAGTAATAGGTTAACGCACACATGCTAGCATTCAGTTTACTCTCTCCTCTTCATTCAGTCAGGTTCTAGCCCACAAAGTGGTACCCCACACATACAAACACAGTGGGTCTTCCTACCAGAGTTAATAAAATTAAGAAAGTCTTCTACAAGCTCAGTCTCCCAAGTAATGCTAGGTTGTTCTAAGTTAACAGTTGGCCCCAACCATCATAGGCTATAGTGAGGGTTACCCAAAGAAACAGAAACAAGAGGATGCCCAGACAGGTGAGAGGTGGATAGATGGTAGATAAATGACAAGGGATATAGTAGGATAATCGTCTCACATTTATGGTTGGTTAGACTCACTCCCACAATATGTTTGCAATAGCTAGAAAACTAGGAGGGAGCTTGACAGGGTGGTACCATACAAGTTGGAAAGCTCCAGGAGCAGATGAAGCCAGGTTACTGGAGCAAGTCCTGGAGACCAAAGGGCAGAGAACTTGACAATCTGATGACAGAGTTCAGGAGGAAATGACCATCCTGTCTCTGTAAGAGGAAGAGTAAATTTGCCTTCTCTGAACTTTTGCCACCTGCCCACAGCTTTCCTATTCAATTCACTGGCTCAAATGCCAGTCCATTTCCAAAAGTATCTTTATGGAAACACACAAAAATGATACTTTCTCAGCTGTCTTCTGTGTTAAGCCAGTCATGGTAACAACTAAAATTAACCATCATGTGGTCAGTAAGAGTGAGTGGGCAGGGAGGGGGGTTTATAGTAGACCATTGTATTACAAGTTTGATTGTACATTGAAAGGACCTGGGAATTTAAAAAAAAATAATACAAGACAATAAATCATTTATACTTCCTGATTATCATTTATTCAGAATTTGGGCTAGTGATGATTCCTATTGTCAACTTGACAGGGTCTAGCTAGTTTACCTATAAGGTAGATTAGACTATAAAGTAGATTAGACTACAAGGCACGTCTGAGTAATTTTCTAGACTGGAATAACTAAGTGGGAAGGCCCACCCTAACCATGGGTGGTGCTGCTCTCTAATCTGGTGCACTGGGTTGTAAAAACAAAAGAGCAAGCTAAGCCCACCATTGTGTTTCTCTCTGCTTCTCAGACATGGTAGCCACCTTTCTCCACCCCTGTGGCGCTCCTTCCCTGCCATGATGCTCTAGATGCTTTTCAAGTTGCTTTTTGTCAGGTGATAGCAGCAAGATAAGCAACGGATAGAGGAGGACTTCTGAGTGATTTTAAAGTTAAATCTACGAGGAAACTACTAATCTTTCTGTTCCCCAGGATCTGAGTCTAGTCAAGGTCTTAACACAATTTTTAAGCTGTTACTGGTCCAAGACTTAGTAAATAGTGTGTCCTAATGGAGTGTGTCCTAATACATTTAAGTTTCTATAAAAAAATACACCTTACACATATGTAGCAGATGGGCCACTTGGTCATCATGTGGGTTTCCTAGCAGTGTGAGTTCAGGTTATTCCTGACTCTGTTGCCTGCTTTTGGATCCCTTTCCCCCAGCTGGGCTGCCTTGTCAGGCCTCAGTGGAAGAGGATGTGGTTAGTCCTACTAAGAGTTGAGGTGCTAGGGTGGGCTGGTACCCCTTGGGGACTTCCCCTTCTCTGAGAAGGAGAGGGGCATTAGGGGAAAGGGTGCATGAGAGAAGGAAGGGGTGGGGATCAGGGTGTAAAGTGATTAATTAAATAATTTTTTAAAAAATACCATATACTGAGTGGTCTATAGTCAATATTCAAAAATCTCTCACGTTTCTGGAGGCCTGGAGGTCCAAGAACCACAGACATTTTGTCAGATAAGGCAGGATTTTTCACTTGGTTTCTTCAAGATTCCCTCCTGCTGTGTCTTCACATCATGGAAGGGGCAAGGCAGCTCAATGGTTTTTTGTTGTTGTTGTTGTTGTTTGTTTGTTTGTTTTTAATAAGGACACTAATCTAACTTATAAGGGTTGCTTCATCCTATCTCACCACATTCCAAACACTTCATGTGCTAATATCAAGCTATTGGTGATTAAGGTTTTCACACTGAACTTGGTAACAATACAAACATTCAGATCCTACCAAAGTGTGCTGAATATTTTTTTAGGAATATGACAAATTGTGTCTAAGAATGAAAAAAAAAATGGTGAACTAGTGTTAAAAGATTATCTAACCTACAAAGAGATATTTTTGTACCTGTTGGTGGAACCTTCTGAATAGGTAAACAAACACCCCTCTCTGGCAATGGGGCTATAAGATTCTTAAAGCCATTAACCTCTTGAAGCTGAAACATTGAGGTCAAGAATTAATTGCTCCAGCAGAGCACTGAAGCATCTGGGTACCACAGGGTTAATGAGTAGGAGTGGGGTAGGTGGGGTTACAAACCAGGAACACATGCCCTCTAAGTTAGTTTGCTTTCTGTTTAATTGCCCTTAAAACACACACACACTCACACAGAGCAGAAGGTGAGAGCTGAATGAAGTTTGCTGGGTAATGGCTTGAAATGTTTTCCTTCTGAGAAGTGGTGTTGAGTTACAGCATGCAGGGAACTGGGAGGAGAGAAGCGGCAGCTGGCAGCCCCATCCTAGCCCCACCTTTTCTTGGGCTTGAAAGAAGGTGGATGTGGGCTCTCCAAGAAGAGGAGACAAGATGCAGTGAACTATCTTACAGCTGCAGCTGACTGCTCTGGGAGTCACCTGGAGCCAGTGTTTACTAGGGTTTAGCCAGGGCCAGTGAGCAGGCACAAATGCTTTGCTGTGAAATGCCACGCAGGCAGAGAGTGACAGGCAGTCAGTAAGAGCTGAGCTTTTCCCCCTCGGACGGCTGTTTCCTGCTAGGTTCAGAAGCAAGGGGGCCTTGCTTCTCCTGCTGCTGCTGCTGCTGCTGCTGCTGCTGCTGCTGCCTCAACTCCTTTTCCATTCCAGGTAAGCAGACTCAGAAGGAGGGCAGGCTGCAAGGCAAGCTTTTGTAAGATGAACAAGATCCGAAAGTTTTTCCGAGGAAGTGGGAGAGTCTTGGCATTTATATTTGTAGCTTCTGTCATCTGGCTGCTCTTTGACATGGCAGCTCTCCGCCTCTCATTCAGTGAGATCAACACAGGGATACTCAAAGAAGATATCCTGAAGAGGGAACAGACAGGATTCAGAGTCCAGCCAGACCAAATGAAGATCTTTCATAACAGCATCAGAGGGATGAGGCTGCCCCGGAATGGAATGTGGGGCAAGGAAAACTTTAGAAAGGCTGACGACCACATGCTCAGGGTTGAAGAGACTACAAACCAAGTTCAGATGAATGAGAAAATGCAGATCCGCCTGGGAAGGGGGAAAGCGGTGCCTTTGTGGCATCTTGCACATCTGCAAACCCTCCCAGTGACTCTTCCCATGCAGAAGACTGTAGGGAGAGACAGCAAGCCTGCTGTCTTCTCCCAGCACATGATGTCCAAGCAAACAACATTCACAGCATCAAGAGGAACTCCATTGACCAAAATATCACAACACACAGACACTTTCGATAAGAAACAAGAGGCCCCAAAGAATCATAATCTCAGCAATGATTCATCAAAGCAAGCATCTGAAAGGGCCCCGAATGTGACCATCAGTGTCAGGACTGACAGACCAAAGCAGCACTCACAGACAGTGACAAAATCAAGGATGCGCTTTGCCAGCCCACCAATCCTGAAATCTGGGGAAGCCACAGCCATAAAGAAAACCGAGGCTCAGAGCGAAGAACTGAAACACAAAGCCTACAAAGTGATGCCTCTTTTTAAGTTCATTGCTAATACAGGACATTTCAAGAAGCAATCTATGAATGAGACACAATTGGGAGGCTTTCCAGAAGATGATGAGGCCAAAGTAGCGCCAGGGAAGAAACTTAATTTCTCTGAAAGCCATGTTGTCATTATAACCAAAGACGAAGACCTGAAGACAGATACCAAAAAGGTGCCTAATTCTAAATTCCAGACTGTCTTTCCTAAATCTCTGGGTGAAAACCAAGGTAAACACATCCCTAGGAATCAAAGCAAGACATCTTCCTCTCCACTAGCTCTACAGAGAGCAGAGTCTCAAGCCAAGCCCGCTTTAGCTGGGGGACCCCGTGCAGTAAGAAGCAACTCGACAGCCAAAGCCGAGACTTTGGGACACCAGCAAAGCCTTGCAAATAGCACTGAAAACCCTGGAAGGCACCGTGTGTTGAAAATCGATAGGACCCTTTCTCCAAGGGATCCCAATGCTCCAGGTCAGTTTGGACGCCCTGTGGTGGTTCCCCCTGGAAAGAAGAAGGAGGCTGAGCGGAGATGGAAAGAAGGAAACTTCAATGTCTACCTCAGTGACTTGATTCCAGTGGACAGAGCCATTGAAGACACAAGGCCTGCTGGGTAAGATCCATTTCTCTTGTCTTTCCTTGAGATAAGTATTGAGCTCTCATATAGAAGGGTTTCGTTGCAATTTTTTTTATGAATTTTGGCCACCTAGATAATTAATTTTACAGTAATTATTTCACTATGGCTAAATGGCCTACCATGCACACAGAGGAAAATCCTGGTATCAGAGATCCACTGGGCTCTCTTTCTGTGTTCCCATTTCAGGTCCCCTCCTTAGGTTGCGTTTTCTTCCCTATGTCAAAAATCAGTTGGAATAGAGGAATTTATTTCCTGATAATCTATTTCTAAGTAGTAAAATATAAATCATAATTCCATTTATAACAGTGACAGTGGAGTCAAGCATCATGTTGGAAATTTTCCTTGTGTACAAACTTGTCAGGAGTGTATCTGGGAAATGTTGGTATGGACACTAACAGGGGGCTTCCAAAGTCTCCCTGAAATTAAATCTTAACATCTGAACAATCGTAAGTAATGATGACTTGGACAAGCAAAGAAATGATTGTTCTCTAAACGTAAAAGCCCTTTTGTTGGCGAGAATAATAGACATTTGTGCATTCCGTTACGTGGAGCAGCAGAGCCTAGAAGAGTCTCTCAACAACAGCAAGCAAACAGTTGTAGGAGTGTCGAGAGCACACTACCAGCAATCATGCTCGCTGAGTTTCTGTGTTTACAGGAGTCTACAAATGTGGACGTAGACTTCAAGAGCCTGAGAAAGGAGGGGGCTGGCATTATGACCCGACTTAATAGATGAGGGCACTCGTAATTAGTGCCTTTCTCACACTTCATATTAGAAGTGTATCATGTGTCCATCGTAGCGCGCCTCTGAAGCTTTCCAACGGACCCTGATGATCTAGTTCTTCGAACAAGTTCCTTCAGTTCCTCACCAGAAGGGGGTGTAAGTCACAGACGCGACACAAATGCAGTTTCTGACTCTCTTTTGTGCATTTATAAGCGAGGGCACTTGTAGCCATATGATCATTACCCACTAATTAATACTATAGCTCTGGTTACAACTTGGCGTGCAGTTCCCTAAGCCAAGCCAGCCTGGAAGCTGGAATCCACAAATGGCAAGATTGAGTCTTTGAGCATGTGCGCTACATTAGCAATGGGTTTCTTTGGCTTCTTCAGAAGTTTTGTTTTTTTCTTTTGAACCTAGGGAGTTGGGGCAAGGTTTTGGACAGGACTTTCAGAAAGAAGGCATGCACGGATGAACCTTTACTCATGGCAGCAAGAGGAGTGTCTTTATTGTGATGTCAGCTGTGAAGAAGACGATTCAGTCTCTGAGCCATTGCTACACAGCTATTGGCCGTGTACCACCGGCCAGTCTAGACTAAGCCCTGTGCCACCCATATCCCTCAAATCGATGATGCATCCTCAGAGAACACGGTAGCATTCCCAGAGAAGGAAACCGAGGTCCTAGGAACTTAAATTGTCTCACTAACCTGCTTCTTTGAAAAGAAGTGATTAAAATTCACACTCGGGATTCTCCTCCTCTCTCCTGTGTCTTGTGTATTAGCTTCAAAAAGGATTCTAAAAATGTTAGACCAGCTATAACCTGAAGTCCTAAATGTCACAATATTGCACACTAACTACAGCGTTGCATAAGGACTGCGGGAAAATATAGTCTCTCTGAGGCAACTTAAAGTGTTCCCCAGGTTGCCCATTAGGTTGCTACCAGCCTTCGGAAGAGTCGGGCTTGGCACAGGAGCACGGGATACAGCTCCAAGTAGAAGAAAGAGCCAGCCATGTGAGGCCGAAAGCAAGTACTAATGCTACCAGCCAGCTGATTTACGGAAGGCTCCTCGCCTCCCAGAGCTAGTTAATTTATAATTCAGTTTGGGAAGTGGAGTCCCGCAGCCCAGGAAGGTTCCAATTGGACTCTGTCTTCTGGAGGAGATTGCTCGGCCGTTGTTCTGAAAGTGACACGTGTGCTTGAGATGGTGAGTCAGAAAGCACACAGCCAAGTCCCTTCCCTCCTGCCACACAAACCACCTTGGCTAAATATAGGTGTGAGTCTCTGGGAAAGATGCCTGGCTGGTGCCCTGGGCCCAACCCCAATCCGATGGAAGCCTACATGGGAGACTCCAGAGGATATCTGGCCCTTTTGTGGTAGTCTTCCTTAATGGAGGATACATCATTTTTCTTTTCTTTCACTCAAACATTAAGTAAACTTTAAGCAAATCATGTGTTCTCATGAATATGTTTGGAAGAAAATACAAATACCTGTTTTCAGGAAGGCAAAATTTGGAACAAGGGTATTTTGCTGTGTTTTTTTTTTTTCCTTAATCTTTGATAGTTCTTTTCAGCTTTGATAAAAAAAAATTATCTGAAATGTCTTACTCATGCACATAATAATATTTAATGAATTTTAGTCATCTTCAGAAAATTATTATAAAATATTGTTAGGAAATATGTGCATTATAGGCCTGTGTCTGTGGGGAGAGTGCTATGAGAAACAGGCCTTGTAATTAGCTAAACTGCAGACCACCGTAATCTTCGAATTTCAGAACTTTAGGACTAGTTCCCAGAAGTTTATATTTTAAAACAAAACTGCTCTTATAGATGAGTTAACACAATAAGTGCCATATCATAACTTTCTGTTGAATACAGCTTGAAAGGGGATTAAAAGCATGGATTTGTGATCATCCCTTTGATTTCATTTCCCTCAGTACAGGAAATGACTAGTTTCTAGTTATCTTCTTGAGGCTAAATTAACTGATATGCTAAGTCAAGGTTGATGTTGAATAGAAGAGACAGGGTTGCCAGGACAACATCTCCTATTTCAGCCTTAAAATAAGAGCTTATTTTCCAAACCAACTCTTCCAGTCTTTTCCTTCCATATTCCAGAGAAATAGCTCCAAGATGCTACATGATCCAAGGTCTTCTCCAAAAACCAAGGACCCCTCTCCGCCACCAGCATTGCTCATGCTGAGTTCTCAAGGCTGTCTACCAGTCTTCCCCTGGTAGTGGATATCTTGTCTGGTGTGCACGCTCGCTAGGTCATTTCATTGAATCAGGGTCTCCTCAAGAACCCACAGCTTCCTTCCACAGTGAGTCATCTCACCCTGGGGATGGTGGATCTGTTTCCTCAGTACTGAGATTATAGGCAGCTACCAAGTGGTGCATCCTGGGAGTCCCTGTTTCTCACCCTTACTCTTGCGCCGTACGTGCTTTACCCACTGAGCCACCTCCCCAGGTCACATGACTGTGCTTTTACACATTATGCTCCTTGATCACCCTGTTTATTTTCTTAGCTGATTTCTTCACAGTCTTCCCCTGCAATCTGCCTACACAGCCTCACCATTTTCTCCCTCACATGCTAATTCAATATCACTCACAGTAGCATTGTAGCTCAGCCTGGGCCATGACAAAGCTGAGTCCATAGTGTTGACTAAATTCCAATAGTGTTGAATGTCTTCAGCGTTCTTTTGGCTGAAGTACTTTGGCTCCCCACTGACAAGAGCCTTGAGCATCTTTTTTTGCTCTCGCAGTTGAAGTTCCAAGCTTCTGCAGAAACTGTTTTCAACTTTACTTCATTCTCCCTTTGGGTACAGAACAGAGCTGCGCCTTCCAAAGACAAAGCTTTGCACAGCACTGACTTTAAAAGCATGTTTCTCTGAAATGGGTTTTGAAAACTAATGCTACTGTTAATCAATAAAGGAATGAGGAGTATCAATTCAAAAGAAGCTTATAATAATTCACTTCATAAATTCACAGTTGCTTCTTGATTTTTCACATTGAATATGTAGAGTATATTTTTTATTTGGCTTAAGGTACCTATGTCCTGTTTTACACTGAGCTATGAGTTGATTCCCGCTTATTCATTAGCTCATATTTTTGTTCTTTCAGCTTTAATTTTAATGTTTTGACTTTCAACTGAAGGAATTGTTTTTGTTTAGAATTTTTATTTCAATAAATAAAATAGAATTCCATTTTTATCTAGAATATTCTCTTATAAAATATGTCTAGAAACATATGTTTTTTGACAGTCACTTTAAACTGCCATGTTCAATCTTTTAAAAACCTAATCATTGAAATCCTTGTTCTTAGTTCTTAAAGTGTGTTTGCCTCAGCATTAATCCACATTCATACACACTCCACATACATACATATCATACACACACACACTATACATATACACACATACCCACTCAGAAAACCACACACACACACACACACACATACTACACACACATACATATACACAAATACTACACACAGCACACAACCACACATAGCACACACACACACTCCACTTATGTGCTGCTAAGCTAAGCCGAGGTCCTATCAAAAATAGGTAGGACCTATTCTACTTAGAAAAGCCTTGCGGCTGGAGGTCTGGTTAAGATAGAACTCCAAAACTGAACTTATTTTAAGAGTACCACTTCCTGAATCTTGACTTGGAGAAAAAATATATATATAAACTACTTAAAGTAACTTTTTTTAAAACTTTTATTAATTACACTTTATTCACTTTGTATCCCCCCCCCATAAATCCCTCTCTCTTCCCCTCCTAATCCCATCTTCCCTTCCCCTTCTTCATTCATGCCCCTCCCCAAGTCCACTGATAGGGGAGGTCTTCCTCTCCTTCCTTCTAATCTTAGTCTATCAGATCTCATCAGGAGTGGCTGCATTGTCATCTTCTGTGGCCTCATACAGCTGCTCCTCCCTCAGGGGGAGGTGATCAAAGAGCAGGCCAATCAGTTCATGTCAGAGACAGTCTTCCCATTACTATGTAACCCACTCGGACACTAAACTGCCATGGGCTACATCTGTGCAGGGGTTCTAGGTTATCTAAATGCATGGTACTTGGTTGGAGTATGAGTCTCTGAGAAGACCCCTGTGTTGCAATTTTTTGGTTCTGTTGCTCTCCTTGTGGAGCTTCCGTCCTCTCCAGATCTTACTATTTCCTACTTCTTTCATAAGATTCCATGCACTCTGCCCAACAGTTGGCCATAAGTCTCAGCATCTGCTTTGATAGTCTTCAGGGCAGA